CTTGAACGCATCAAAGCTCTGTGATTGGCCGGCGTGACCCCATGTGTCGGGGCGTGGCTGGTGGGCAGTGGGCACTATTTCGCTGACGTTGTCCGTGTCAACAGGAGTGACAGGCCGTTTCTCAATCTCGAGGATGCTGGCTTGGTAGTCGCGTACTTCCAAGTCACTTCCTTCAGAAACTAAGCAAGTATGCTTCCAAGCCACGGCGTCGGAAAACGAAGAAGAATGGAACAGGCTAACAAGTGTGCCACTCTCTCTAACGGTTTCAACATAAACTGTACCGAAAATAAATACCTCACGATGTCTATCTAATTATGAACTTGCTTTACTTTCACAAAACACATTTTTGGTGATAAAAAAATGCAACAAAGTAACATATTTACCAACACATGCTCTACGACACTACATACTTACATTTAAATGTGTGCTGCGTCGGTTCACCCATTCTCCGCAAGGGNTGCAGAAAGGAGCAATTTCCATAGACCCCCATGTTAAAATGCCCAACTTTAAAGCAGAAAAAAACATGTTTCTACCCATGGATGCAATAATAATAATATTTATTGCATCCATGGGTAGAAACATGTTTTTTTCTGCTTTAAAGTTGGGCATTTTAACATGGGGGTCTATGGAAATTGCTCCTTTCTGCAGTCAGTCCCTATCGACCAATATATGAACTGCAGTGTGTGCCACTTCCGTATTGGCGTCCCGGCTCTTCCACAGAGTTTGCCGCTTGGTTCAAGTGCATTATTCTGGCACAGGAAGATTATGCTATAGGACATTAACGATAAAACAGAATATTGTTGTTCTATTTTTAGACACATCTCGCGATCGACTGGGAATCTCCCCGCGATTGACCGGTCGATCGCGATCGACTGGTTGGGCACCCCTGTGTTAGAGAATTTACTCTGTTCCATGTTTGTAGTTCCACAGCACAGTCAATTTCTCTTACTTAAAGACAGGACAGTAACATTTGTATCATCAACCATTCCTACAGAAGACAGGGACATCTTTTTTTTAATCAAAATGCCATTTGTGCAAATCTCTACATTCGACAAAGACTCATGAAATATATTGAATATGGCAGATTGTATCAATTCAGCTGCCAATTCTTATGTAAAAAATGTCCTGTTCATTCAAAAAGGAAATGGTGATAGAAAAAGTGGCTGACAGAAACAGGATTTTGTTATGGCAATTTGTCAACAGCCTTAAACTCTATCAATCGACTTGTCTAAAATAATTATTCTGCCGCCACCGTTTTCAGATTCTAACAAACTGCTTACATTCTAAATTACTGACAGGATATTTTTCCTGTTTCAGCAACACTGGGTTAGGCTGCTGGCATATATTCCTGTGATGCATATCTACAGATTTAAAGGCATTCTTCTCAAACCATGCATTTGACAGAATCATTTATTAAAATGTAGGATTGCTCGGTCAGTCCTGCATTGAAATTACTCCCATTGCTCATCCAGATCACACCAAGATAATATGAAAAGTAAACGTCAATAGCCTAGTGTCTACCGAAGCAAATGACAATCCGACATTCATTTTACATAAAGACAGTTAAAGCGCAAAAAAGGGTCACCTACTGTACCCCCACATCCCTCAAACCAACACCCTCATAAGGTCAATGGGCAGAGGACAGTCTTTGAGATGGGGAACTTGAATAGATCATAGAAACCACAGAAACTCAGTGATTGTAGGTTTTACATTTGTGATACTGATCCACCGATGACATCAATGTTTGGACGGGGAACAATAAATCTGTGCTAAAGAGTACGAAGTACTGCTTCATGTGTGATAAAGCCCATATGTTGCATATGGCACATACTCTTTACCCAACTATAATATTGAGATCATGTTAAATTTACTTTTCAAAGCTGTTCAATTGAAACCATTTATCATGTGTGTCTTTGACTTGACTAAACTCTGTTATTTAACCTATCCTAAGGTACTAAGTGCACTTGTAAATGAATGTATTAAGTATTTATAGCGGTTATCTGCCAGTGGGTTATTTTGACCGTATAGACAGAGAGCCACAGTTTCACTGATACAGGTTATACATACATCCTTTATGATTCATATTACTATAATATGTATGCATTATTTTTATAAACCATCCAGAATTCTTGCAGCCAGAATGTTTTTACTTACAGCTGTGATTGTTCTGTCAGGACAATACAAATGTGTAATTCTGTAGGAATCTCAGTGTGGAGGGAATTAAATAATAAATGATCTATAATCATTCATATTAACATATATTTTGAGGATTATCATAATGTTATACTCAAAATGTAAGTATCCAATTTTTGTTTTAGCAGGTGACATGCATTTGACATGGCTGAGGATAGATAGAGACCTGTTACCACCTTACGTTTACTTCTACTCAGCTAACCATCCTGCAACACCAGATTGACTTCACAATCCTCCTGCTCACCTATAAAGCTCCACCGCAGCATGCTGTAACGCTACACTCCATCTCCCAAACCTTCTTTTTTTCAATCACTATAAGAGCATTCAGATGATGTACCTGAGCAGACAAGTTTAAGCTGGTCTAATTTCTCTGATGAACCTTTGATCAAACGCAATGTTGCCTTTACCGTTGAGTTGTGCTGTTAACACTTTCAAAACAGCTTGATGCTTTTAGTCTCTGCTGTAGTGACCTTGTGCTTTGAAAGATAGCCAACAAACCAATGTATTATCTGTGAGGATGAAGCATGCTATTGAGATTGTTGGACATTCTATTGCGGCTATTGATAGACAATTCAAGGTCGATTTTTAAACACATGATGCGGCAAACACCATTCATGTTAAGTTATTGCTGGTTAAATGCTAAGAAAAGAGGCAAATGTTTCCCCTTGTACTGGTGAATACTGTACACACCGAGTATGGTAAACTGGGAAAGATTATTTTGCATTGCTTTCAACCAATAGCCGTATTCCTATTTGCTCAACCTCTTTCATAAACACTTTCCTCTCTAAAAATCTCTTTCAATCAGAAAACCTCTCTCCATCCCTTAACATATCCTCTCCCTCCATCTCCATCCTCTCTGCAAAAAAGCCTTCTTTTGGCCTCATCGAATCAAGGAAACATATCAGCCAGTCTCTTCCTGTCACACCCATTGAAACATCGTTCATCGGTCTGCACAGAAAATAAGCTGTCAAGATGGAGAAAGCCACTTGTCTAAGGATCATATTTATGTAAGAGTTGTGTCTGCTTCCAATTTCACGTAGGCGCAACATCTTTCACCTTCATACTCCACTCCAGGAAATTCATGTATTTTCTCCATGTGATTGCAAATTGCCCCTGCACTCCACGTCCCGCACTCTTATTTCTCCTGCCGCTGATGGATCAGGGCTGTGTTACTGGCAGCTGCATTTTCCATATGGATCAATGGTGGAGTATGCATTGCTGATCACAGATGACTATGAATATTTGATGCTGCAATATTGTTTAGTTTGGAACACATAAATCTCTAGTCAACATTCACACCTCAGCCATTTTGTTTACATAGATTTTGGTTGGGCTTTAGAAAGATGTTTGGATTATTCCTGCAAGTTTTATTACTAGGCTGCTTGTTTGATTAAATAACCTCTGTTTTTTGTCAGCAGTTGAAGGAGTGTGTTGGGACACGCCACTTGAATCTTGCAATGCCTCTAATGCCATTCTCTTTATTCCTAACATTTGGGGAAAGGGAAACTCTACCAGTCTGATGTGTTTATCGGTTGGGAACGCACTTCCACAGTTGTTTTTGAGGATTGTTTATTAGTTTTATCAGTCTGACATGTTCTGATCTGAGTACTTAACCTGCCATATTCCAGGATTTGGCTCCATTATGACAGGTGTGTGTTGCAGGGGGCTTGTACAGGATGCTTCTTGGTTTGTCACCTTCATGCCCAATTAGTTCCTGTATCATTTTGGAACATCTGACAAGTGGAGACTGCTGCTGGAGAGAGCCAGACAGGTGGTGCATCCCTGGAGGGAGGCATTTGCAGAGGTAAAAAAATGGTGCCTTGCTTTTTCTGGGCTCTAAATGATAAGGATATTATAGATAATTACTTATTGTGTTATGTTAGTGTGATTTTGTAATTTTCATGCAGCCTGTTTTCACACATCTAAAAACAAATGTAGTTTTTTTTCACATTTGAAATGTTGAGTGTTGCCTTTATTTGTTTATAATTAATTTAATTATTTTCACCCCTGCCTAATTGCAATTTAGTGCCTGTTAACACAGAGAGAAACTCAGGTATGTTAATTTGGAGACAGTAGTGCATAAATAAATAAGATTGAGAAAACAGACAGCAAATGCAATAGGGCATCTATAAGGAATCATTACGTTGAATTATTGTTTTATTTATTTCTCCTGATATTCCACCTTTATTTTCTTATTCTTTTAAATATGTAATCTTTTTTTAAAACCTGATGCATTAACAACCCAAAATCTCTTTGTTAAAAAATGAAGAAAAATGTAGTTTTTCATAAGAACGCCAGAAGAATAACATTAGGCATTTAGACAAAGCAACAACCAAGTGAGGTGGTGTGCTCTAATGCATTATATGTAGGTTACCAAGTTTATGTGGAACTCGTTTCTTCCTCATCGGTCATTAACAACACCAAAGGAACATGAAAAGCAGCACACATTTCATCTGTTACAAGACTTTGAAGTAGTGTTTTGTCATCTCCTCCCAACCCCCAACCCCCATTCTCACTCCTCAACCCATTTTTCTCCTGATAGAACGTAAGCTGTCTCTATCAAAGCAGCTCAGCATGACAGTGTTCTGTGTGTCCGTCGGGACCTAAAAAGCCTTAGCTGGTGTGAATAGTGCAGCCATAGTGGGCAGAGCCAGTGTGTTATGGTGCCGGTTGAAATGCATGTCAGTGTGATGGTGTGAGCCTCGCTCCCCAGGAACTTAAACGACCGTGGCAATGAACTGAACACGCTTTGAAGTTAGCGCTGCATATCGCATTGGAACCATTTTAAAGATTCTCTCTGTCTGTCCCAGCATTTATAAATCTAATGTATTTAGATATTTTCCACTTTTTTAAACCTCACTTATTATTCAAATATCTAGCATACCTTCATGAACAAAATAAACTAATTGAAATACATGTTTTAATTAATCATCCCAGTCGACTATAAACCTTTTGCTTGTGATGGCATTGGTAACAACAAGCCATCAAATATTTGAGTGTGTGTCTCATTTGAGACAAAATGAAGCTGTGCTCTGCATTTTGCTCTTTTGCATAATGTGCTGTGGGATTTTCTTTTGCAACACCAAGACATAGTAACAAGGCAAAATAATTTGAGATCAACAGAGCTAAAATGTATCTAAAATCTGATTAGGAGAAATTCAAAGGAAAGGGCTGTTTTTGCAAGAATATTTAAGTAGGATTAAAGGGCTTTCAGACGCTGTTAATTTCCATTTCATGTTTAGTGGGGAAAGATCACTGAATTTTCAGTAAAGCAGTGTGACCCAAGGCAGCAAATAGACAATGAAATGAAGGCTTACATTTTCAGTAAGAGCGCGGATAACACATGTCATATCACAGAGTCTTGGAAACGATAATGGGATGGTTTTAATGCTGGAAGAGTGTAATGATAGTCCTCTCTATTTCTGACAAAAGCAAGTCCAGAAACTTTGATCATGTATTTCAAGTTATAAATATAAAGTCTTGTTATTAACCTATGGAACATAATTGATATGGCATATTCACTATAAAGATCGTGGATGTTATGTTATTCTCTTTTATATAAATAATACATTATTTTATTTAAATAATCATATGTTTACCAGAGAACTGAAGGTGTCCACATGGTTACAATTACCCAACATATTTTGAGCTGCTGTCTCAATTTTACTTTTCCAGTACAACCCTGCATGTTACCAACAAAATCCTACAATACTGTGAAAGCCTGCTTAGTAAATAGTGGTCTTAAGACGTTGGGCTTCTGCCTGCTTTGTCTAGACTTAACACCACTGTGTCATGGACATGAGCACTGTGGGATAGAGACAATCTGAAGCGGGGAGACAGACAGAGGCCAGGAGACAGAGATTAGAAACAGGACAGCGAAGACGGATGCAGTTGGGGGGTTAATCCTGTCTGTGAGTGAGTGATCATGTCCATCCACCCAGCTGTGGCGCCATCAGGGGCCACAGGGCTTGCTGGAAGTCTGATGAGGCGTCACCGCCGTCTGCTGCGGGAGAGATCTCTCACTCGACAGTTCCTGTCAGCATGTGGGACTGCAAGCCAGGTAAGCGGGGAGCGATAGGAAAAAGAGAGACACAGACTGTGAAATAGAGCAAGAAAGAACACATCTTTTTTTAGTCATATCTTTTGGGATTATTCAAAATTTTTCTTCAACTTCTCACCTGTTTTCACAGTGGATTTAGGCTTCTCTGTGAAGAGAATCATGAGGGATGAATTGCCTTTCATGATGAGATAATTAAGGTTGGTGTGATTAATTGCAGTGTTAGGTTATCTGCAATGTCCCTACATAGGCAATAATGAGAGAGTGTCCAAGCAGGATATCACACACATGTCACCTTTCACCTGCCAAGGGAGAAAAGAATCCCCCCTCACTTAAAAGAGAAAATATTCCCCACTTGCACTTGAAGTCACCTTCAAAATGTATTCAAACGACCTTCCTTATAACATTATGTACCAACAGCTCTACAGTATAAACTGGATATTATACATCATTCACTCGTCTAACACATGGCTTTTTCAAGGGTAGGCAAGAGCAGTTGATGACAGAACAACCGGAGGACCATCTCTGTAAATTGGTCATAAATATACTGTTATTGGCCTTTACTGTACATTAGGAGCAAAACAAGAGAAAAAACTAAACGTTTTTACAGAGTTAAATACCATTTTCAGCATTAAACAAGGCAGAATTTATAATTCATGCCATTATTGCCTTGAGTGCCCAGAGGAAGAAATTGCAGCTAACAATATTTTTTTCTATTGGAAAATAAATCATATTCCTATTTTTAAAATGACTGAATTGCGAGTTGTTTGTACTAACTTATCAACCCAAACCCAAACCCCTCAGGAGAAACGAAGAGCAAAAGCCAAGATCAATCTGAGACAAATGATCCAGGCGTAAAGAGAAGGGGATAAAAAAGAGAAAACAATCTCTGACGGTTAAAGCTGTGAGGCAAGGGAATTGAATCTGCTCTCTGGGGTGATGGGCAGCTGTTTTCTCTCTGATCACCAACTGTGCTGCTAAACACCGATGGGACTCATAACAATATATACCAGATATGTGTTATGACTCAGAGGTCAGGCCACCAAACTCAGGCTGAAATCAGAAAACACAGCAGTAAATCAAGGTACATTTGGATCTTCTCAGGCTGGTTCTTTTGTGTAGCTTTAACTAAGAAATATAAGTGCTGATTTGAGTATGCTGTGACAATCCTTAAGGAAATTCAGGCTACAAGCATGGAAAGACAAACGTGTTGAAAAAAAGCTGGATTATGTTTAGAAATATATTTTTCTTTATCAATAATGTTATTATTTTAGTACACACATGACATTTACTGTATGGTTAAGGTTAGGCAACAAAACATTTGGTTAAGCTTTTGGTTGCTGTGGTTAAATATTAATATGCCACAGCAACATTAATTGTTGATGAGAGGCAGAACATGAACCATGGTGTCAGGCATTGAGGTCAGGCACATTAAACTGTTATATTTTCACACTACTTAGAAAGAAAAAAAAAATCCTGCCCACTAAACATAGGCAAAATTCAGGGGACTGGTCTACAAAAAAACAAGTTAGCATGCCTATAATAATCACAGCAATAATTATACAATAACCTTTGTTTTTCTCAGCTAAACTAGTTGTTTTAAATATGAGGTCTGATTGTATTTCACACTAATATTGTTTTGTCTGGATCATCTTTTTTTGCTTTTACAGTATATAGCCTACTGTATTGTTGCTTGGGACTTTTCGTCTTGTATAATAATGTTTGATCAGGCAGAAAAAGAAAGGTTTGACTGTGACGTCCCCACAGTACCCTCATTCTCTCTCTCCTGTCCAATCATTTATCCATCTCTTCGGTAGCCTTGAGAAAGCTCCATTTCTGTCTGTACCAGAACATCTTTCTGCTCGGTTTCCCTAACACTTTCTGAAGATGTACACATAAATGCCATCAGTGCCCACACGCAGCCAGATTGCCCCTGTCAAGCAAACACACTCAGCCCAGACGTTCTCGCTTTTCAGATGCGACGCAGACTTGAAAAGTGAAACGATTCAGAGATATAAGAGACATCGTCTCATGAAATCTTAAAGGGACATGGTCTTAGCGAGGACATCATTTCAGTTAACTTAGCAGCTCGTTGAAAACTCTTTTATTTTTTAATATCCATACACTATTATACACAAAGGAGTGTATCAAGTTCAAGGCTTTTCTTACTCCGAGCTTTGCAGAATTTAAAGTGAAAGATTGACCTGTTTAAGAGTAGTGGACACAACAGAAGGGTCTTTCACTTGAAATTATACTCAATTATATTTATTTTCAATGTCATAAAAGGTTTAGGTTCCTAATAAGATCCTGAATACCACATTGCTGAATTGAATCCCTGTTGGTAATTTGTTCGCATTTATACAAAACTATTAATAGCTATGATAGCTTCCTGTGCTCTCCCTGCACAGGTCATGGCTCACATCCTCATGCTCTTACATACTTACACATTAAATTGCCATAATATCATTCTATTTTTATTCAAGATACCATATTAATGCATCAATTATCAGATCATTAGTTTTCCTCTGACTCACATTCACCAAGTGTTCCTGCTCATGTTGCCTTTCCAGGTCAGTAAAAGAGGGCCTCCACACAAAACCCCCACTCATTAATTAAATGCGATAGCACCTTTCTCCACAGGATCAATCAGTGTTTCTAATACAGTCATTGACCTAAGACCTTCTCCAACTGTGCCCCGTTTTGTGCTCCCCCTAACCCTCTCCAACAGATTGGATGTAAGCCTGTCAGAGACATTGTGCACACCTTTCCACTAGATGAGATCATATTGGCATGATCCAATATGCAGTGAAGAAGAGGGTGGATTGCAGATGGTTGGCCATCTTGTCTCCGGTGATACAAACAGACATCCACCTCATTATTCCAGATCTTCATAATGAATCTGTTCTCCTCCTGTGGCTATTACTTCTTCTCTCATTTTCTTCACTCATTAAAAGCTACATTTATCCTCCTATTGTCTCCCTATGCTAGCTTTCATCTGTTTGTCTTGCCTAATCTAGGTGAACTCAACCATAAAACAGACTGGACATGACTCATTTATATCCAGTAATTCTTCTGCCTTTAACAATAATTTGATTCTCTCATTCCTCACAGCAAAATCCAATATGAATCATCGCTTCACTTTAACTCAAAGAGTACCACGAAGTGCAACACCGATTATTTTAGATTCTTTGGAATTCCTTAACACAACTAATGATAATTAAGTTTTGAGAGCAACAAAGCCTGATTTTAGGGTGCTGACTGTTTAAGATCCATCCATAGTATATAATACTGATATTCACATTGACATCAAACTGCAGTAAGGACATACATCCTTACATATAGGCACTTTTAACAGACTTAATAATTTATAATGAACCAGCTTCAAGGATTGTTCATAGCATTTACCATTCTTTCTTACTTACTTACTTTTTTCTCTCTTTATTCATTTATTTTTTTCCTTCTAATCTTCTCTTTCCTTCTTCCCACATTCTCTCTTCATGCAGAGCTGACATAGCCAAGTAGACATGTTGAGTTATTGTGCTGGAGGCGATGGTACTCTGCTGTGCTTCACAGATGATCATTTCCCAATTCCACAGCCGAGGAGCGCAGGCCTGCAGTAATTGCTGCAATGCATCCAGCAGCCGGTCCTTATCTGATGCTGTGACAAGAATAGGGCCCATTTTATTGGTCTCACACCCTATGTAATTCAGTAGAACTTGCATCATTTCCTGCAGAGGAGATGACCATGGTGGTGTCACCCTAGGGTGCTTGATGCTGATTGGACGCACAGCGTGGCCCTGAGCAAATAAATCACTTCTCCTCTGTTCAGTGTAGAAACATAAGCCCTATGGGTGACCAAACACTCTCATCACTGAGACACACACACACACACACACTCACACACACACACACACACACACACACACACACACACACACACACACACACACACACACACACACACACACACTCATTACATACACACTCCGATTAGCAAAAACAATTACAGCCTTGATTCCCTAGGCACTAATCAGAGCCAACACAAGGCACATGCAACATACTGGTGAGATCATAATTAAAACCTGTCTCCTGGCATACTATGTGTCATATCCCAGAAGGAAGATTCTGTGACTGTAAATATATATCACACTAAACCACCACAACACCGAGGAATAGTTATTCTAATTCCTACTAGCATGCAGTGTTTTAAATTGTCAGAATCCATTGAAGAACATTTCAAACCGGAGAGACGTGATGTATGGAATACATATTTATTGTTACACGTCATATAAACGAAATGATTGCCATGATAATACAACAGGAGAATGGAATGGTGTTTGGCGATTAGGCCCCGGTTTACAGGATAATCATTCAGGAGGGAAAGAACCGCTCCGATGAAAATCCCCGGGGTCTAGACACTGGTGGTGCTGATAAGTAGGTGGGACCGGTCTGAAGGAGGAAGGTTTAGCTTTGTCCTGGAGGAGACGGGAGGCGAGAGGGGTGGAGGAGGGTTGCGTGTGGTCACCTGAAATGACAACTGACAGGAAGGAAGAGCAGGCATTTAAGGAATTTAACGTGTGCAGCAATTGGCTGCTGAGGGGTGACGCCCACGCATTTAATGAGGGGGGAGAGAGCAATAGAGTGAGGTGTAAGTGACTCATTGTTAGGTCTTCATTATTGAACTTGCGCTAAAGCTTTCATAAGTCTTACCTTTTTTCGAGCCTTATACGGCAAGAGACACACATTAAAATGTATTTATTCATAACAAATTGCTTTCGGAACGTATATGGAACAATTATACCATAATGTGTTGTGTAATAAAATGGTTCCTCACATGCAACGTAAACTGTGTGAACATACCGGTGGACTTTGTCTTTGAAGAATGTGTATCTGTGTTCAAAAAGGATGATTTCTGAACTAACCATTAACTGCCATTGTTTCACTGACTCTTTCCAGACTCTTTGATTGTCATAACATATGTTGTGCCATCAACAAGAACGTACGCCCTTTTAACACTGTTAATGTATTTTAATGACAATTTTTCATCCATTCATTTTGCAACATATTCTATTTGAATTCACAAAGAGTGCAAAGCTCAGACAAAGTATGTTTGGATGCACTACCATTGAGATTTCTTCTTCA